AGAGAACTTCCAAATTATTGTACTCTTTTTCTTAATAGTGGATTTATTTCTCTCTTTCCCGTGGACGTAGACTTGTTGAGAGGTGTACAAGTCAAACCACGTTAAATTGTTGTCTCAATTTCTTTATCGCTTCTGTTTGTGTGGGATTGTGGTGCTCGAAATTCCCAACAACTCAATCATCCTTTGTTCTAGCCTTTTGGATTTAAGCCAGGGCAAGAAATCCCCGCTACTAGTTACGGAAATCACCTTCCTCATCTCAGCTCAGTGCGCTCAAAATCTACTCGCCTCTTCCGCATCCGCTATGTTCTTGCCATAGTATCACTTTCGAGCTATCATCCTCATCATCACATTGAGCGTTAACTCCAAAAGCACTGTTCTTAAATGAACGGGCTTGTCTTGAATACCTAAGAGATTACACATCAGTAATCTAACTTCATCGATGCATTTGCTCGATAGCATTTGGAGGCGGTAATTTGATAATATTTCGATGGACGCAATTCATCTAAGGTTTCTCCAGTTATGGCCGTAGGGAGACCAAACGAGGCTTTTGCAATTGTCGCTCATGTGTTCGCCAATCATCAATCGAGGGTGGCTGGCGAAGATGATGTCGTTCTTGCTTAAGCATTCTTCTGCAGCTGATGGTGATGAGACGATGATCGCTGGACGGCTACAAAGTTGAAGGAATACTACGGAGCCATGGCTGTTGGATATTTTAGCCAAGGTTCTGAATATGGGCTGCTTGAGAAAGGTAGAGATCAATATATGTTCTTAAGATATTTTTAAAAAAATCAAAATAAAAATCTCTAAATTCTCAAAACAAGGAATTAGATATCAATGCACTAAGTTAACAACTTACTTTTAACCTTTCACTTTATCAAGTTTAAAAATTTTAACCTTTCATTTTATATTATGTCATTTTTAATCCATCTTACTAAATTTATCTGTTTTAACTTCTCATATTATACTATGGCACTTGTAACCTCTCATTTATTAAAATTGAAGAAAATAAACCTCATTTTATAATTTTTTTTTTTTTTATCAGCAAAGTGAAATATTATATAAAGGATAAGTGGAGTATAAGAGACTCCTGCCCATTTTACAAAAAAGAATAGCAATGCTCCCTGCACAAATAAAAAAACACTGCAGGAGCACAAAAAAAATGAAGACCCCAAAAGAACAAGACTAATCAGTAAAGAACACACTTCAACTAGGCTGAAGTAATTTCTGTTGCTGATTAAACATCTTCAGGGATTTCTTGTATCGCTTCAACTCCCTTGCACACTCCAACGGGTTGCTTTGCCACTGGACCAACGAAAAAGCACATCCAGCCACCTTATTTCTTACCCAAAAGTGAGTTTTAACTTGAATTAACTCCAACAATTGCTCCCTAATATCCTCCTCCCTCCGAAATACCAATACATTTCTCCTATACCACAAATACCAAGCAGTAACAAGAAAAATGTAAGCTCCCATCTCCTTGCCTACCAAACTGCCTAGCCCATAGATGAAAGTCTCTGCCACACCCTTCACTGTGTCCGGCATCACCAGCTCCATACCCCACCACTTAATCATCTTAGCCCAAACTACCCACGCTTCCATACACGTGCAAAATAAGTGATCCACCTCCTCCACCCCCTTCTTGCATAATCCACACGTCGTATTATCCTCCTGAAAGGTCACTCCTCGTTTCTGTAGATTCCTTCTAGTTGGGAGTCTATCTAAGCATAATCTCCACCCAAAAATACTCACTTTAGAAGGCACCAACCTACACCATATTAATTTACACAACTGGCTGTCCAACAAGCATTCCACAGGAGCTAAAAAATCATAAGCTTTCTTTACTATATACCTGCCCTCCACATCATACCTCCACTTCCAATAGTCACCTACATATTTCCTAAACCTCATTTTATAATATTTTCTTAGTTTTGTTAGTTGACTATTAACTCTATTAACTAATTATTAGTTGATTATTAGTTTATAAAAATTTTCTTTCAGCTAATAGAGTTAATAAAATTAATTTTATAATATTGAGTTAATTTTATTAATTGATTATTAGTTGATAAGAATCTACTACAATCGGTATAAAGTGATGATTATTTTCTTCAATTTTAATAAGTGAGGGGATAAAACCTATAAATTTAATAAAATAAAATGTTAAAAGTGCCACAATATAATATAAAGTAAGAAATTAAACCTTTAAATTTAATAAAATAAAGAGTTAAAAATAAGGTTGTAAACATGCACTAACACATCATATAGACATCGACATCCTTGAAATATAAGCATTTCTTGTCGATCATCCTCGTACTCACCCCATGAAAATTTGACAAATGGAAAATAAGTAGCCAAAAAAAACCCGACATTGTGGATTGTTTTACTCCAAATCAACATCGTGCAGAACGACTAAATACACCAATGCAAATGAAAAAAGACGCTTTCCAAAGCAGCAATGTCAAACCAAGACTTTAAATTAAAAAAGAAAAAAAAAAAAGAAAAAGCTTAAAAGGGGAGCAAACCCATTAATCATCTTCAAACAAACAGCAAGAACAAAGCCCTACGGCCTCTGCGTCCATGGCCGCCTTTCTCCTCTACTTTCTAGCATTCT